GAGTGCCCCGCGCTTGACAAGTAGCTATACTTATCGAAATATTTATGGGTTAAACAAAGAGGTTGTGCTTCATGATAGGGGGAATAATCATTTTTTAAACGTTTACTCATCAGAGTGAGATCCCTTTGTCTTAGAGCCATTACAATCGGTCTGCAGTTTAAAAGAAAGCCTTAAAGTATACAAATTATTATTCTTGTGCATATTTTCAAAACCTTTTAGTTCAGCGTTGAAATGCTATTTTTTACTTTACACTAATATTTACGTTTCATGAGCAATTTTCTCTTTTGCCAAATTCATAATAATATTATTCTCACAATATGGATTGCTGCCGAATAAATTGACCGCCACGTACAAAGGGGTACTTTACAATTGCATGAAGTATATTTAGTTGCAGTGAAATTATTATTTTTATTGGTGGCAACCAATAATTTAGATTGTTTATCAAGTTCTGATACACTGTTTGACACATGAAATACGAACTTTCGATTTCAAAAAATGCTTTTATTTTGTTGTTGAATCTTGTCTTGTAAACAAAAAATATGATGCAAGAGCTCTCGTTGCTTAGAGGTTAAGGTGTTCGCCTCTCATTCAAAAGTACCAGGTTCGAATCCGGGTACCGACAAAAAAGTTTTCTTCTTTAAAATTGTCTCCTTTCAACTACTTTCCTGCTCTATAGCAATGTTCTATCGTCTGCTTTCGTCTCCACTTCCTGGCCCCTCCCCCTCACCTCCTTTGTCCACTCCTCTGGGCTCCTAACTTTTTCTCCTGCCTGTCAACTGCTACTCCTTGGCTCCTTCTTATTGCTGTCTTTCTGCCACACCCTGATCTTCTGGTGGGAAAGATCTACACATAGCCTTCTCGGAGAAGGGTGAAAAATCTTGGAGGTCCCATATTTAATAAAGATCCCTTGTTGATCTAAAATCAATAAGAGTAGGCTTAGGCCAAAACCCTGGTAAAATTCAAAATATTATTATCCTACTAACTGATAATGTTCGGTGTGTCCCGCGCTCATATGACCTTATACAGTTACGAGCGCCGTAAAACACTTCCCAAAACAAAATTTAAAAAATACAAAAGAATATATGAGTTTGGGCGCGGGAGCAGGGGGGGGGGGTGGATAGGGGGAAAAGAGGGGTCTGCATGCGTTTGCATGCTCAAATGAAAACCTCTTTTTAGTCATAAATAGACTGCGATTTTTTAAGATGATTTAAACCACGGTTTAAAAAAACAACAACTACATAATAATCTGTGTAGCAGTTCTTTGTATATGTGAGGCAGCGTGTGTGAATCAGGATCTCGTCAAAAAATAATCAAAGTCAAGAAACCTGCATTTTTCCTCAAGTTTGTGAATTTTTATCAAATTTTTGTTTTTTGGCTCAACACTTTTCATGCCCATTAAAGAACTGATTTCTGTTTGGATTTTTCTGAAAAGCATTGATTAAAGGCACAAAAAATGTAAATTTTCAGTTACCACTTACTCTTAAGCTAAGGAAATAACTAATCTTCGGCGGCCATTTTCTCTCTAATTTTACCTCTGAAAACAAGTGACCCCACCTGCTTCTTCCGTAAATAGCTCGACCTGTATTCAAGATAAATGGATATTTTTTTCCATCCAAATAAAGACAAGTGAACAAGCTTTAAGATGATACCAATAACTGTACATGCCCCAAAATTGACCACATATAGTTTTCTCTTATAGCAACAGAAAAGAAATTGATAAGTTACCTTTTGTATATAGTTTTTTCTTAATGTAGCAGAAATAAAAAGTGGTCTAAATCTATGTTGAACTGATAAAACTGAAGGTAAAATAAACCAAACTGGTGGTCTTTACTGCATTAAAAAAAAATTTCCTCTTTAAAAATAGTGAATCAATTTTTTGAATGTCATTACAATTTGCAGAATATACACCGCAAATGGGGTAATAGACCAAATCTAGAACAATGATGCGTTCAGTGATGCAGACATATAATAATTATAAAAGTACGTCCTGCATCCAGTGAACCAAGTCTCGAAGACGTGAAGAGTTGGTGAAGAAAATGACCTCTCAATTCAAAATCTAACGGTTCGGCAGTTGAAATCTCAGAGCTCTGCCGGTATACCCACACACACACACACACACACACACACACACACACACACACACACACACACACACACACACACACACACAAGCATACACTCACATACTCTCTCTCTCTCTCTTTCTCTCTCTCTCTTTCTCTCTCTTTCTTTCTCTCTCTCTCTTTCTCTCTCTTTCTCTCTCTTTCTCCCTCTCCCTCTCTCTCTCTTTCTCTCTCTCTCTCTCTCTCTCTCTCTCTCTCTCTCTCTCTCTCTCTCTCTCTCTCTCTCTCTCTTTTTCTGGTGATATTCTCGCTAAGGGAAAGTTACTGATGACAACAGAAGGCGTGCTGACTCAAAAATACATTGTAAATGATTCTTCTGATACACCTGACGAACGGAAATATATAGGACGGATAGGATGAATGTCCCTGTGACCTTGTTTGAACTGAGTTTTAAAATTATTTAATTGGTTTTGGGGGAGGGGAGTGGAGGAGGAGGGGTGTGGGGTTGACGATCAAATAATTTGTCCCATCCAAAACTTGCCACAGCCCAGTGTGACAAATCGATGGAATTAATCGCATTTTGGACCAGAACACTGCCAATTGCAAGATCAACATCCGCATGTGGATTGGCCGTTTTTCTTCTTCAGCCTGATGACATCAACTCACAAAGCATGACCAGTGTCTATGGTGTCGCTTTTGGGCGCTTCGCCATCGCATGTAGAGGACATTAGTTCGATTCCCATGGGTGGAAAAAATTTGTCAAGTATCGCGATCTTTTCTATTTGGATGTCGTATCCCTCTCAACCCGCGTTGGCCGTGACCCACTTCAGAAATGAGATAGTATGTGTTGAAGGGGAAGAAACAAACGCACTAATAATATTTCTTTTTAAAACAAGCACACAAAAAAGCAATACACGTTATCTGTGCAAATTATCACCAGATGCCATAGTCAACGTATTAAACGGTCTTGGATTTTTTTTAAGACAATTTGCCTGACGTACGTATTCAGATTCTGGAATTCAATCCATATCCAAACTGTTCCAAGCAAAAATGAAAGAGCTGTTTGATCTAAAAAAAAAATAGAATGCAGTAATGCACGTTTATTGATGTCTCTGATAACTGTGACGAGTTGCAGATTAAGCAGGGGCAATACCAAGCAAGCATGAGCAGGGGCGAAGCGTCTATATAATCAAATAATCACTGCTTCCCTTCCTAATTTTGAAACATTGTCGCTGTCAAATTCATCCTTAAACGTAAACCTCTTAAATTAAAAGTAAAAAGAGGTTCGTAATCCACAATGAGCATGCCTAACATTCAAAACGGTTTCACGGCCACATAAATAGCCTCCTCACCCCTCTCGGGCCACTCCATAATCCGTCGCAAGCTTTGATTAGGCCTAAGTAAGCTTAAAGTGGGGCTGAAAGAATCTACCAATACAGTTGAGGGAACATGTGCATAGCAGTCGTGGCTGTTTCATCGCCACATATACCCTGTTCACCCCTTTGGGGCCACAGTTAAAATCAACCACAAGCCCTGATTAAGTAAGCTAACGAACACTGGTCGAGTCTACCTCATAAATGTGAGGGGAACTAACTCCTAACAATCTCTTTACTGCTGCATGTGCTTGTTTTTTTTCCTCGACTTTTTACTGTCCTATAATCAGATCGTGACCTCGATTATGACACCAGCTCCTGGCCGCAAAAGGCTAACAAAAACAGCCAAATGTGAAATTTAAAAAATGATAATTAGTTAGACTCTCTGGTAGATCTATGACATATAGATCTAGTACTGACATCTCTGCTTGTTTGCTTTGTGTTTATGTATTCACATCTAAAGTTAATTTAATTTTAGTTGGAACTGATCTTTAATAAGATACTTTCCCGATTATTTTGGCGGTTGAACATACAATATGAATTCCGGATTTGTTTTCATTTACAACTCAGTCAGAGTCGCCGCCTCGAGTAAGATTCTTATGTGATATCTACAGGCCATATATATAGATCTATATCTGGTCCTGTTTCACTTTGATTACGCTGTCAAACAAGTCAGCCTTCGCCCCTGAGCATGAGGTAGTTAGTGGCCCTACTTGCCATCATCATGAGGAATTCTTTAAAGCGTACCAACCGTGCTGAATATTGGCTTATTACAAAATTTTACCAATTTTTTTTTCTAGTTTTAGTAAAAGTTTTACGACACTTGAAACACAATAGGTCATATAATTGCCGAAGATTAGAGGTGTTACAAGAGAGTAACAAACACAAAAAGGAAGGTGGGAGATAAGGATGATAGAGTTGGGTAGGAAAGGAGGAGCAAACCACACCAGAGCACCGGCAAACCATCCATTTACCAAACTTTGAATTTTGTTTCATATTACATTTGCGACATGGCGTAATTATATTTCATGTTTTTGTTTGTTTGATGTTGTTTTATTTTTGTTGTCGGGTTTTTTGTTTGTTTTGGTTTATTTATTTATTTTCTTTTGATTTCAAGGGGGAGAGTGATCATGATAATTTCATTAATTGCTATTAACTATATTTTATATCAGCTTACTGTGTTTATATAAACAAGTACTCACCCCTTCATGCAGTGCGAGCAACTAGTTGGGCGAAATTTAAATCAAACGCTACTAACAAAATATACGTTTTGAAGAAAAAAAAGGCTTACAAAGCCAGCCATTACAAGTAAAAAGGACAGTTATACTTATATGAAAGTAAAACACTCTTGTTCCTGTTTCATTAATAAGACAATGTTACAGCATGTTTTTAGATTATTATTTTGCAACATTGATAAGCCAATGTTTCATTAATATAACGACCATTTAAGTACAAGACTGCCTCTCGGTTTTTCAGGGGTACTGTGATAAATTATGTAGTCTTTCATAAGATGGCGTCTATTTGCATAAAAGGAGAGACAAAATAAATTGCAACAACATTAGACTAGTTGTGTAGAAAGTTTTATTTTAATTCTGTTTTCAGTTTCAACAAGTCCATACCACATTAAACAGTTTGATCTGTATGTGGCATCGTGATGAAACGAGGTGCTTGCCAAAATAATGAAATCAAAGAAAGCGGGCCATTTTAGCTTAATATGCAGTCTTTATCAATCTTTCTTTTTTCCGAAAAGGGGGTGGGATGGATCAAAACCTTTAACGTCCACGTCAAAAAACATTTTTATATGGATTTGACGAAACAAAATTGATAATATTTATTGATCACAAGCACATCAAAATGAAAGTTTGCAGTTTCCAGGAATACTCAAGCTTCGGAAGTCACCACACTTTGGCAGACATTTTTTCGTAATTTTTACCCTGGAAACCATGGGACCCCCTACCTTCTTTAATCACAAATGTCTCAACTTTTATTCAAGACAGATGAATGCATCTTCATTAGAAGCAAGGTAAATTAAAAAAAAAACAACTTCAAAGTGATTCCAATAACTCCATTTGTCCCAAATCTGACGAGCGTCTGATTCCGTCATGTCATGGTACATATCGATTTCACAAACGTCTTGCTTTCTTCTACTGTCCCAAGAAATGTTCCAGAGTTCTCTTTGCAAAGGTGCCTGTATAAACAAAGAAAAGAAAGGTGAAGAAGAAGAGCATTAATTTTATAAAGGATGCCTGAACAAAAACATAAAGTTTCCTTATGTTTTCATTGACCCTCCAAATAGTAGAAATACTCGTATTGTGTAAAATTATATTGATGTTCATTCTAGATCCTCTTTGTATTATGCAATACATTGATAAACTTGCTATAATTTGGTTAAAGAGAAATATATGTATAATATTTGTTTCCAATGTAGTATCTATGTCAGTGTATTGTCATGTCTCCATAACAATGCATGCATGCTTTTCCACACACTTTAAAAAAAAACTGATATGTATTAAAAATGTTCACTCATGTTATTACATGCTGCAACGATAACAAGAGTACAAATTACCATCAATATTGAATGCTAGCCACAGCGATATAGGGTTGCAGAAAATTATATATTATAGCGCTCTGATAGTTCTACACAGGATCTTTCAGACAAGTGGGCTAGATGACATAAAATCCAGACATACTGGTTGAATGGTTTCATTTTAAAAAAAATAGTCTTGCATGTTAAATAGACAAAATAAACCTGTATTCCCTCCAATGTGAGTTGGTCAAAACATTTGAAATGTTTAAATGATCCTCCCCCGCCCCTTCCAAAAAGAGTAAATAGAATGATAAATACATTTAGAAGAAGAAGAAGAAGAAAAAAATAATAA